TAATACATGTATATGATACTATTCAATTAACGACTCGTTTCGTCATAAATACACGATATTAAGGTTTCAAAGATTTTTTTCTCTGTACATTTTCATAGTGAGATATTAAATTCTGTTAGTCGATTTGCCCCTAACATTATTCATGTTATTTGACAATTCCGTGCTATTTATTAGGACATAACTTCTCCAGGCTAACAGACAGTCCGTATTCAATTATATAAACATTACATCAGCAACGTTATATGGTATAAGGCTTAAGGTGAATTGAGATGTTATCTTATGTTTTTTATTCCCCATAGCAAGATAATAATATCATAATTGATTGTTATGCTTAGAACGATGTTATGTTATATTGACTGCCTAATCGTATTTATATTATATTGCATTTTTATGTCTTAGACTAGTTGACTTTTATCGGAGGCTATTTTCAATTACACTTTTTTTACATTCAATTTCAATATTAAAATCTGTAAATTTTTAACATTATAAATAATCTATCTAATAATGATAAGTAATTCTTAAGATCATTCCTGCCCTGAGCAAAGGCAATCAGTCTACAATAATTCGACTTTTTGACTTAAGTTAATGGTCTTTAATAATCATTTAGTACAAATCTTAAAAAAAAATACCATGCATATTATTTATCATAAAGTCTGTATTAAACATACAGAAATTTAAAAAATGGTATAAAAATGTAAGCTGTACCTTTTGTTCAACATGAAAGGGTCAATTGAATATCCGTACTTAAAAGTAAGTTTTTAAGTTACTGTTTTTTTTCATGCACACGAAAATAATGTGATTTAAGCTTGATTTACATTGAATGGACTGTAACTGTAAAAAACTGTAAAATATTAAACAAAACAAAAAATGAAATGGATCTTTGTTGAGAAACGATATATACCTGACTCGTGCCATTTTCTACATTTGATTTTTGATGCAATATAATAAATAAAATGTTTGAGAGCAATTATTTATAGCCTGTATGTAAATGTAATTTAGTCTGGACTCGTATTTGTTTATATATGATTTAACAAAATGTTTTGTTGTAGACGACCGTAGATGTTTATGATAACAGTACATTTAGACATGATGAATAAATGCCTGCAGGAGTTGTATACTTTCCAGCACAATTTACAGTAGCAATCGTCATTTTACATATATATAGTAAGTCTTATCTTCTTTTCTGAAAATGAAACTTGAAGAAATAAACGAAAATATAAACTTTAATATTTTGAATAATATACCTGATTTATACAAGCTTATTGTTTAATGACAATGTTTTATTTATTTGTTTCATTGACTTAATTGTTTAAAATACTATGTACTAAAATGTTTTCCGTAAAGATTATAATTATCTAGCTTTCCTCAGCACCAAATTGAAAATGACTACAAGGTACAAATATTTATGGGCAGGTTACTAATGCCCTTTTATGACGCTGCTTCATTCGATGTCATCGAAAACTATTAGTACTACGAAACATTGAAAGATGGAGTGAAACTGCCGGGAAGGCAGGAAATGCGAACGCGCTGGCGTGTTGCGTCTGTTAAGGAAATCTGACAACATAGACGTTTGACAATTTTCTAAAAGATGATGGAGATAACTTTGTTCAAATGGTTTAATTGGAAGAGAAGGAAAAATCGTGTTTGAAAATAAGTGTCCCGACCGACATTCAATACGTTTAAGATGTCAATGAAGAAGTACATCGGAGAAGACTGTCGTCTTACTATCATTTATTTTGTAACAGCTAAGGAGATCACTCATAGAAATGTTTACAACATACAGCATGATACCCTGTGTATGCTGTGTGAAAGCTCATAGGAAATTTCTTGGTGGGGGTAATGTAAGGACTATGTACCTTAACGCTTTATGCCATGGTTATCAACGCGTCCCAAGGTGATGTCAAGTAGATCTGGCTTTTCTGCGTTTTTGTTTTATGATTATTTTGTTAAATTATTTTAGCTCTGATATGTTCAATATTATTCTAAAAAGAAGTGGCGGAAGATATGTATCAGATATCGAAATGTATTGTATTTAATTTCCAATGTTAATTGAAATTACGTTTTTACAGGACAACTCAATTTATTTTCTAATCAACCCTCGTTTCAAAATTACAATAATTATGTTTTTCTTTTCCCCAGCTTGAACTGATCTCATAGAATCGTATAGCTCTTTACAAATTAATCTTAAACTGATCAATGAATGATCTTTTGTCTTCAGTATAAAACACATTACTTTTGTAACAAAGATTCTAAATATACAGAAAGAATATAAATCAATGTGATAAGAAAACAATTACAAATAGAAATCGTACTAGTCTTTTCAGACAATGTGATTAAATGCTATTTGTTCCTTAAATATATTGAATGTTATTTGTTTATATATATTTTGTTCAATAGTTAATGCTGTTAATTTCGATTTCTTCTGCTTTATGGTAGATGAAAATGATCGAAGATCATTTTTAGTATTTACTTAGGAAATAGAGATAAACGGAATGCCAAAACGACAAAATTGAAAATGTTAATGTGTCACGTTAGTGTCATTCAATGAAAAGCGGCATATCGTCCTTATTTAAAAGAAAGCGTGTGTCCTTAACGAGAAAACAATAGGCAGAACTAAATGAAATCGAATTTGAACGGGACCTGACGTTACGAAGCCTGCATATCACAGACAAGGGGTCAAAAAGACAAATTTGAAAAGCAGGCGACATATGCTTATGATGATTATACAGTATTTAAGTAGGAATAAATACGTTTTAAAAGAAAAGTTCCGCTATAAGGAACTAAAATACCCTAAAACACACACACAACAATAATGTAGTGATGAACGATCTTCAAGGATAAAGGTTGTTTTCTTATGGATTGAGGCATCAGAGATGCATCCACCGTTCAACACCGCTTGATCGTTAGAGGCGACTAGATCGTTTTACATTACTGGTGTATATCCCCTAGTGTGGCATGAAGATTTTATCGGCACCAAATGATCTAGTAAACTATGCTGGCGCTCCTTCAACCCCTTCCATAAAAAACAACAACAACAACAACAAAACAATAATAAGAACAACAACAAAAAACAAACAAAAGACAAACAAACAAAAAACAACAAAAAAACAAAAAACACGCACACACACACACACAAATACCATAACATATACACCAACATTTTTGGAAATTAAAGGTTTTATATGAAGTAGTAACGGGCAAATATTGCATAAACCTTTAAATAGTTTAATATATCCTGAACACTTAAAACCGCATGGACCTTATCAAGAAGTACCTACACTGTTAAATCTAGATTTTTAAAAATATAAATGAAAATGGATTGGTTAAAAACAATTGATATGATATGATTATATCAATGTCTACATTATTATATTTACCAAATAATTGTTGCCTTTGGCCTTTGTCTGATGACGAAAACATAAATTGATTGATGGTAAAACTACTTCAGACATTTTCATCATTACTAAGCGATATTTACCTATTGTTTATTCCTCGATACTACGACTCAGCATTTCATTGCCTCGAAATAGATAAATACAAAGATTCATATAAGTACAACCTTTGATTGCTCGACAATTGGTTGTTATATTTAGAAAAAATTCATTAAAGTAAACTACAACTTATAAGTTTTAGTTATGAAAATTCATTCTTAGTCATATATATTTACGACGTATATTTTTATACAAAGTGTAACTGTGTCTGCATTTTATATGTTACAGTGACTATACATTCATGTTGATAGCCGTGAATCAAAACAAATTTCAATCATCTTGGTGTGTGGATTCCGTACTTGTATTAAATCACCGTTTGTAAAAACAATCATACGCTTCCTTTGTAAGGCACACCCTGTCTGAGAAATATGTGGGTACGGCAGCTCCGGTCTGACAGTTGTCTACATCCGCCCACACTAGCCACCAATCGTAACGTTTTAAGGCACACGAACACTGTCGGTAAACAACTAGGTCACAACCATTACTGGTCTGTGTCCTTATATATGGGAAACATTCCCTCATTTTAATTCTTTAACTTAAATTTTTGCATATTATTATGCTCATTATCAGTAATATGACGTTCTACCTATATCGTTACACCCTTGGTTGGCCGTATGCAAGATTGATATATTATACCTTTCAACTAGTGGCTATACTTGTTTTATGAAGTGTTCATTGCTGATTGGCAAAGTTACTATAATTTTCTTCTCATCATTAACATATATTGCTTGGTAAGACAACACCTCTCTTCATAATGTTTTATACTGAGTTATTTAGTTCTTACAACAGTCAATAAAGTCAAAATTTGACAACCTCGTTTGAACAACATCTTAACGAGTGTTAATCTGAAATTACTGTATTTTATTTCCTCAAATAGCACAACCTAAGTTATTGCATTTCATAGCCTTAAGCATAATTTACTGACCTGATAAAAGTATCGTATTAATATGATTTACTCAAGAAAAGTATTTTCTATGCTACTAAACAGTTGGATTTTCAATACTTATAGGAATACTTTATTTGTATGACTAAAAGATTTTAATCAAAAACGATAATGTAAACTGTTTTTGACACGGTGTTTTATATATATGACAAAATTATCGTAATCCAAACAACAAAACATCCGTGTATTTTTTTATTTCAAACTTGTTTAATACCGTATCATGAGCAGAGATAGATACCACTACTATAGTTTTATATTGGAAAGTGAAGGAGGACATCTAATATTGTTATTGGAAATATGTGAAGTGACGTTCGTTGTCTGCTTGCCATTTGTATGCGGTATTAGTTCTCGTCTTGTGATCTACTGTAGCCATACTTGGGTTTTACTTTAATCATGCAGTGTCATTGTTTGCGACGAATTGAGTAAAAAATAAGGAGTAATAACTAATATAATTCTTATATAACTTGTTTATGTGCAAAATATAACAAGGTTTTAAATGAATAATTTTATAAATGCAGTAGGCTTTGTTTCTTTGTAATTGTTTTACTTAAATAAATCACTTTAATAATAAAAACAGCTCTTTTAGATACAAACAATTTGCTTCAAACAATCAAAGAAAAAGATGGATAAGATTTCTGTGAACCGATTTTCTTTTCGTAGAAAAGGAAGTCATAAAAAGGATAAACAAAAGAAGACAAACATGAGGATAAAATTGATGAAGTTGAACCGCCAAAATTAAAGTACATTAGGTAAGATTATGTTTCAAAATTGATTTCATATAGAATTTAATACAGTATGTCCTGGCATTTTTTATCAAATAACTTTTTGATGGATTCATGTATGGTCGTTTTTAAATGTCCTAAAATTCAAAATTGTTCAAAAAAGTAATGTAAAACCAAATTTAATGAGTTTGATTTATATTTTTATATAGATTTGTATAATTAAAAAAAATAGTTTAGATTTTCACCATCATAATAAAAGCAGTGTTGCTTAACAAAATGTTTGATCACTTCCATCCTGTCATATTATTTCAAATTATGAAATTGGTTTGGTTCATTTTTTAATTTTGCAAATATATCTTTGATAAGGACATGATGCATTATTGTGTACAAAACAGTTTTTTAAAATGATTGCACAGAACATTTTTATATAAAATATGACATCTGCAAACCTCTTGTTTGATAATATGATAACATATTTCTTTCTGTTAATTTCATTATTATAGCATTTGTTGTAAATTTTATATCAGCATGATAACAAAATGATAATATCAATGGTATGGCTGACTCAAATCAAATTTGAACGTCAAATTCTAAGGCATTCATGTTTTCTCCAGCTTTGCTTTTTTTAGTTTAATTTTGTTATTAATAAGTTAAACTGAATAAACTGACACATTAGACATGTATTCTACATTTTGTTTTGTTTGTTTTTGTGGAAAAACCATATAAGTATATTTAAGAATATGTAAAATGCTTACTTGAATTACAAACATAAACTTGTAGTTTGAAATCAAGTAATTCTAGTACAAGATTGTAAATCATAATATTCAGTCAATTACAACAATTCTTTCAATGCAACAAAACCTTAAAAACTTTTGGAAATAAAACAAAGTGTTTTCCTTCCGTAATTGTACAAATTGTAGCGGGGAACGTATAAAATATGAAAAAACAAGATCAACAAGGAAGGGCGGCGCTCAGTGTACGCAAAAACGCAAAACGATCCTCGATATTTTTTTATAGTTGTTTGAAGCAGCATTGTCTCTGCGTTCATCAATTTTTAGCTATCTGAAAAGTAAAATGTGATGTTAAATTATAGAGATAGTTATACAAATGTAACGACCATATGACATGAAAAATGTTTTTGCAGTATCACTTATTTACTATATGTCACTCGTAGTCTGTTAATAAAACACTTAACTAATTATGTACTAAAGAGATATACCTCTTGAGGAATGACACCAAATTTACTTTTCATTACTACAGAAATAAATAAAAACAATTTGGTATGTTATCAATGAAGCCTGAACATTAATTAATAAAATAACATGCGTTACTCCCCTCAACATCTAACATGTTCATTAATGTATATAATGTTGCAGAATTCAGAAAAAGTTCACGAGTTAAAATAGTTGTTAGGAAACATTCAAGAGACAAAGCAGTTATTTGTGTCAACTGTCTCAAACTTGCTTCTACATATAGAGGAATATTGCCTTTATAAATGTATGTGCATGAAGGGTTTATTCTTTTTATCTTCAGACACATTAAGATACTCAAGAAACGCATTGGTTATTTAAATCATATTCTTTCTTGAGCTACAAGTAAGTCGTAAATGTGAATATGTAATGCAACAATCCTGAGATAGCTATATACTTATAATAAGCAGATGGAGGGACACACAGCTGTCTTAAGTTATAAATGTCTTTATTTATTTTATGTCAGTGATAATCTGTAAAAGGAGTATCATGTAGTGGGAAACCCACTTGGGAGAGGGTAACAATGAGAAATTAAAAGATCAAGAGAAATTCATAGTGACTCTGTTTTTGATTACACTACCGCCATTCAACATTTCCCCTCTTCCAAACCGAAAGGGTCTCTTATAATATAATTTACGTTGCTTTCTATAAAAGAAATGTGTAAATTATTAACAAAGTCATGCAAAAAATGTTAAACTACACGGGCTGAAAAGAAACGTTTTAATAACCGGTTATTTGTTAGGCTCTAGAAATACTGGTTTTCCTAACGAAACGACCCTTTTATCAGGTCCGCTGCAAAAAAAAAGCCATACCTCATTTTTACCCAAATGTGGTGCATGTAGTTTCGCCCTGTATAGAACCGTATTTTTGATCTTTAAGCCTTTATTATTAACTTTCAAACATAAACTGAGATATGACGTTAAAGACTGTTTAAAGGTATACGTTCATTATCAAACAACATATTAATACAACAGTAGTTACAAAATTACTTCATTTTGGTTTTTGTGTAAATTATTAATTATTTTCATTCTGAGCAATCATAAGATAAAACAATGTATCTGTCTGTTTTAATAAAACAATTGCTGAAACTGTTAGTGCTTTAGCTGTCAAGATCGGAATCAATGGTTTTAATATATGCTTTAATCAGTCTGTAGAATGGGATTGACAATACATTATATCTTTTAGCTTATGCACCTGGAACGTTCCCACTTAGACATTTACTAAAAAGAATATCTATAATTTTACATTATCATTTGGATACATTTCAGATAAAACAAAACCATACATTGATACGTTTTATACACTATCCAATATTTTTCATGGGAAGTTGGATTAAGCAAATTTAATATAAATCAACATCTTGACACATGAATATTAAATGATCAAAATAGAAGTTAACATGATATTAGCATAGACAACTAAGTCTTCCCCGGTGGTTGACCCTTGTATACTCTTTTTGTTTGGGGTCCTGCTGGGCTCCATGCTGGTGGTCATATGTTTCTTTGTTATTGTGAGATGCGTGTTTAAATGCAACACTTCCTTGTTGATCTTTGTTGTTTTTTTTATATTCTAAAACAGATCTCATAAGCCGTGAACCATATTTAACATGCTCTAAATTATTTCTATCATTCATTTTTGCTTTTTATTACATTTGCTTTATCTTCAAACACCTGTAAACATTAACAGGATTGGTTTGCCCCCTCGCATTGCAAAGTTATACTGGGATATGCCATTCATATATCTTCATTTTGCATCGATAGTTTAAAAAAAACAACAAACAAACAAGAAAAAAATCACGCAGTGTTCAAGAAGAATTAAATAGAAATAACTAGATACCTTATGTAAAAAACAAAAGCACTTCGTTACGGTAGAGAGCTTGTGTAGTAATCGCCCATGCCCACAAATGCATTTCATTCAGGCTCTTAAATATTTCTTATTTTCAATATCTTATTCTTTGAACCCGTTTAATGAAATATAAAGTAATCCAAAACTTTTTAATTAGTTACAGAGCTGTGATAAAACCAATATAATGTTTAAACAAGATCTGAATTTGACGACAAACTTATTGGATGTCTTTATTGTTTCAGTCAGAAAGAGGCGAGAGAAATCGAACAAGAATTATTTACAGAATATGCCTTTAATGTTGATCAACTTATGGAGCTTTCGGGATATAGTTGTGCTGTTGCCATAGCAAATGTGAGTTATTACTTATATAGTTCACTCTTGAGTTTTACTATTGCTTTTTATGTTTTACGTTGTTTTCCTTAAAAGAAATTTATTTATTTATAATATAGCTTTATTTTCTTGGAGGCAATGATCAAAAGAAATCAGCAATTTCTATGATACGATGTTATAAATGTTCAATATTAAATTACCCTTTGTAAAAACCTTTCCTTAAGAATATTTGATATTGTCTTTGCAATTAGTAAATGCCTATTCTTCTTATGATTCTGGAGAACTGACAATTATTTTCTGATAAGATTGATATAAACACTATTACAAAGGTTGCTTATAATGAAGCACCGCAGTTATCGATTGCTCTACACTTTGCAAAAGATCAAAGGCTACTAATTTTACGCCAACATGATTAATGTGTCTTGAATAATTTTAAAAGCGTGGCAGTACAGACGCAGTATTTACCATATTGTATAAAAAAGCGATGTGCATAAAACTCTTTAATAATCTCATGTATTTTTTGCATGCTTAGATTAAAAAATTGTTGGTTACTTTTATACAAATAACATGTTTTTAAGTGTTACCCTGTTGAAAAGATGACAAAAGATAACCATGCTGTCCTTGTCTGCTGTGGACCTGGAAATAATGGCGGGGATGGACTTGTGTGTGCCAGACATCTGAAAATGTTTGTATGTTAATGTTTGTATTTTATTCAGTTTTTATGCACTACCAATACATTAGTTTTAGATGTACAGTAGCTGTGCGTGCAAGTTCTGTCTTTCATTTTCTTATTTGCTATCATTTAAACCAAAGATGATTTTAATTAAATATTTGTTTTTAGCTCACCTGAGCTAGCTCAGGATGAGCTTTTAGGATCGTTGAATGTCCGTCGTCTGATGTATGTTATAGTTTTTAGTTTTTCTGCACTACTGATATAGTAGTATTAGGATGTACTGTATCTGTGCCTGCAAGTTTTGTCTTTTATTTTCTATCATTTCAACCATATAATTGAAATCAAATATTTGTTCTTTTTTATATTTTATACCCACATATTTCGATCCATATGAGAATTAACCTTGTTGGTGTTATTATTGTTATCATCACTTGTTTACAGCCACTGTTGTTATCAATTGCTTTACATTTACATCTGTTATTTTTGAATAAACATTGCTATAAAAAGTGGAAAAAGTAAACCCAGTACTAATTATTATCATATTAAATGAAAGCATAAGGATTTGCACCTTCAGCGGACAAAAACAATACAAATAATTTACATCTACATTTTATGCGTATACTCCTGTTTTGTGTTTTCTGTTGTATTTATTGCAGGGATATAAGCCAACAATATTTTATCCAAAGAGACCGAACAAGCCTCTATTTAACCGCCTGTATAAACAATGCGAAGGCTTGGACATGCCTTTATTATCATTCTTTCCGTCAGAAGCACATCTTATTACAGACTCATACAATTTCGTCGTTGATGCATTATTTGGATTAAACTTTGATGGTAATTTGGAGCTTCGTTATGTTGAATTTTACGAAATATTCATTCAAATCACATGACCATTGCAGTGTCGGTATGACCTTCAACCAACTAACCAGTCACTCAATCAAACAAACCAAGCAAATAAACGCACATTATGTGGTTTATAATTATGTATTATATACGCAAATTGTTTAATTGTATTGTGAGTCTAAAATCATAATTTCTGTAGCCACAGAACACATCAAATTATTTTTAGCTTATTTGTTGTCACTTATAATGTAATAAAGTATAGTTTTTTACGATTTTTTTGTTTGTTTTAAATTATACCATTGTTAATAAGTATTTAAGAAAGTGACTAACACAAAATCGTTGCTCTTTTGAACAAAATATAGAATGACTGTCGTTTTAATTTTGTTCTCTCGACAGGCCCTGTAAGAACGGACTTCGAGTCTGTAATGGATACTTTAAAGAAAGTCGAATCACCAATTTGCAGCATAGATGTACCATCGGGTATGTAAATATTCTGACAATGTTACGTCAATTCGCAACTCCAATTAATTAACATATACAGCTAATTGTTTAAGAATAAGCTTTTTCTCGGGCACATAAGGTTTTATATTGTACTGGTAAATACCTGTCTCAAAAACTTTAATACCACTTTTGGCAAAACATCAAGGAACGGACTGTTTAATACTTTAATGATAACAGGCCCTGCATTTATTGTGTGTAATACGCTAGACATTATTTTGTTTTAATACATGAACCTCATATTTCTCTGACATACTCGTATTATTTAGCATTTTTGTATATACTATATATGTTAATTGAAGGTATGGATATGTTTAATAACTTTCAAAAGGTAAATCTGTCCTATTTAAGATTTGGTCAATATTTTCATTAAAAAAATCTTACTTTATTTGTATGCATTTATATATTTAGGATTTTAGCTTAATTTGGGAATCAATAACAGTTTTTATTGCATAAGACTAATAAAGCATATCATGTATTTTATTATTTTATTTAATAAATGAAATGTTTTGTTATATATCATTGAAGAACGTATACATTTGATTATAAATGATTCACGTAATGTTGATACATATTTAAAACTTAAAAATACATCAAGAGTTTTTGTTTTTATTTTAAGACTAGGACCTGGAATTGTGCAATAAAACCATGACATTAAATATGTGCCTAACTATATTAATTTTACGATATTCATTTGAATTCATTCGAGTAGTTAATGCTATTTCCATGTTTCAGGATGGGATATCGAGTCCGGCGATGAAAATGGACTGAAACCAGATATGCTTATTTCTCTTATCGCTCCTAAAAACTGTGCAAAGTTTTTTAAAGGCAAACATCACTATCTTGGAGGTCGGATTGTCCCCAAAACACTTGAACAAAAATATGAGTTGAATTTACCGATGTACCAAGGTACTAATTGTGTAATTGAGCTTAAAATGGACGATGAGGAAAGTGAGGACAGTAGTGACAACAAAAGTGATTATTAAGTTAGGACATTTTTCGTTTTCTAGATGTATCTTTAAATTTAATTCAATGTTTTGCTCCTAAATGAGACATTAAAACAAGGCCACGAACATGTCAAAGAACAATGCATATGATAGTTCGTGCTGGGAATATTCGACTATGAAGTACTGGTTATAATGATATTATAGTTACATTCATCGGATTTCTGTAGAACTTCTCAATGCTCGCAATTAAACATAAATCACGAAGTCATTATTAACGACAGGTGATCTTTTTAGTAGAAAAACTTGACGTGTTCCTTTTATTTATTATTATTATTTCTTATTTGTCCTTTATTTATTTTTTTCTCATTTTATTCTACGGATACACATATTGTTCGCCTGTGTATATTTTACAAGACATTGAATATATTAATCCTTTTACTTTCTGTCATATTCACCATGTTTATTTAAAACTTTTAAAAAATATAAAGTAAACGTCTGTTATAAGTTATTTTTTAAAAAGATTACCATTTTTTATTGTTAAAATGTATGTAACAATTTCTGAAAAGATATGATTCGCAAAATAAATGGACAGTCTTCTACTTATTAATTGATGTACATTAGCTATTGAGTATTGTAGTTTATGCTTAAGTTGAAGTCAAATCACTACTGTTGTGCGTACGTTTTGATAGGTATTTTTGTGACATGTGTTTGTTCGTTGTTGTTGTTTGTTTGTTTTTGTTTGTTTTTTTTCACGTTAATGTTTGTCTATTCGAAATATAACGAACATGTCACATCTGACATCTATACAAATCATTAGAAGAGCATCATTAAACATTGGTTTGCCTTAAATGCAAATAAATCGTATTATTTTATAAGGCGTAATATGCCTTTTAAAGGGAAATAAAGCTTACCCTGCTTCAGCCGTCTATATTCAATTATATTTCCTTAGAATTATTTCAGTCTTTCAAAGTTAATTTCATATTTAACAACATATCTTACTTTACCACTATGTGAATGTTGACCACACTTCACAGGAATGATCTTTTATTTGCATTTACACAGTATTATACAAACATATCTTAAAAAGTGCCTGTACCGAAAAGTACAATATTCAAGATGTGGAAAGCCAGTAAGTAGCGACGGGCGATTTATGTCTCTCCAAGATAAAGATGTTGGGGCGTCCGTGGCCGGGTGGTTAAGGTCGTTGACTTCAAACCACTCGCCCCTCACCGCTGTGAGTTCGAATCCCGACAGGGACTTTGGATTCTTTCATGTGAGGAAGCTCTCCAGCTAGCTTACGGAACGTCGGTGGTTCTACTACTCAGGTGCCCGTTCGTGCCTGAAATAATGCACGGAAGGGCACCTGAGGTCTTCCTCCACCAATAAAGCTGGAACGTGGCAATATGACCTATACTGTGTCGATGTGACGTAAAACCCAAAGCAAACAAACAAAACAAACAATGTCGCTCCAAAAATTTATCATTCATGTCATTTACGTCAAATTTTACTTTAATATAAACGATAATTGGAAGATCTAGCTATTTATATTTTCTTATATAAAACAAAAAAACGCGAATGATCTGACATAGGTGGTTAATACCTACATGAATTGTTTAAAAGATCTCAAAAAATACATTTGCAAACCAATCATGTGAAAAACCTCAGTGATGTCCCTTTAAAGAAAAACGATAACACGACCAGTGCATAACCGTTAATTTTAGTCTATTTCTTAATAGCTTAAGTGTAAGACATACATTACTAACAAATAAATGCCCAGGAAACTACATTTGCTTTTCTATAAAGTTGAGATGACAGGAAAATGGAAACAGTTTGAACGTCGAAATGAAAACTATTTTGGTTATAATGGAACATCGATTCTGCTGACAGGTAAATTTTCAATAAATTCTATATTTACATTTTATCTAGTAAATGAATATGATTGCTATAAAGCCAAATCTACGATAATCCTTACACTAAAAGATGAGTTTAAATAGTGAAGCTAATAATTTATATGAAATGCGTATATACTCGAAGTTTAAGCACATTGTTTCGCCAATATTATTGTAGAGAACTTTAATTGTGATTGATCAACACGTCAATATACACTAGAAAGTCTTTTAAGTATTCTGGTACACATCGGCAATATAGCTGAACCTTCTTTTGCTCTCTCGTGACAATAAGTGAAGTCTATGTCATTGTAAATTTGGCATCAAAAACTGAATATCATGAATATCACTATTATCAAGCTGAAGGTGATTTATTTATGGGAAATTATTTTTACATTAAATGTTTTTATCTTCACGTGGGAAACATATTACGTGCTCAATAGCAAGTGTTAAAACATGGTCTAATGTGAATTTAATATCTATTTCCATATCAATATTTTCAGTTTTTTTTCTAAATAACTTAATGCGAAATCACGATTTATTTATTTTGTCTGTAATGGTATATTATAATTGGATTTCAAAAGGAAATGCAAATCATGTAAACTAAATCAATTAAGTATATGCATGTTGTCAAATAACATTTGAATTATAACAGCAATATCATTTTCCTATTGAAAGACAGCTGCGCCCAATTATTTTATAAATTACAAAGCTCAGGGAACATGAATCTTTATAACTAGATTAGTCATCATCAGAGAAAGATTTCAAAGGCTCTTTGAAATGATAATCAAATATGCAATACAAAACTAAATGTTTCATTGAAGTAAACGTCAAACTATAAAAAAACGAAAAGAAAAAAAAACATAAATAAAAGATTATTTGTTTGATATTTTAAAGACATCGCGTTTATGGTATCGTTTTATTAATTAACTGTACGTCGCAACTACAAAACGTTTTAAATCGTTAGATATATAAATCAGTTTGTTCAAATTTATATTGAACCTTAGCATAGTTCCTTATTATTTCTTATTATCCTTTCGATTGTATTTTAAATTAATCCATAGCAACCAGTGCCTGATTCTGTTTCAAATGTAGCCTAAAATAACACGTTCCGATGTTTTCTCAAAACTGCAAAATGTTTTATGTACTAGTCTATTTCAAATATAATGACTTTATGATATATAATCTACTTGCTGTATATACTAATCTAAACATTTGTTATTGATGTATTCAGGTACAATAATATAAATTTACTATCTAGTGAAAGACTATTCAGCTGTCAACATATTGGGCAAGGCACAGGCTTAGTCTGGTATAGGTGTTGCTGTTCTGTTCGGAACCAATAGAATCAGTATATGTGATAACAACAGTATATAACGAACTCTTTTTTTTCACACAAACATTTCTTTCATATTTCGATAGAACTTCAAATGCATAAAGTACAAGGAGAGTTGTATAATTATGATTTGTTTGAAAATTACACAGACCATTTCCTTTCCTTATATGTAACTTTTTTAAAGGAGATGACAGATAATTATTTCGGATACACTCCAAATATAAAGCAATATGGCCAAATGAAAAATTGTAACACGCTTTATTATCAAGTGCTTTAATACACGATATATGCATAGTATAAAAGCGAATGTATAACACTCAATTTGACGTCAGCAAACCAAATGACGTTAGGAAAATCACTTCTTCACTATGCTAAATGTACTTAAACATAGGTTATCAATTATTGTTTTATAATCATAATATTAGTCTGAGAATGGAAGTTGAATGGATTTTTCTTGTATTAAAGTATGATTATTCACACTTTATTGTTTTAATGCTTTGTAATTACATATTATAGATCAGCCTTCGTGATTGTGTTTATACGCATTTGAACTTGAACTGTCCAGTATTTGACAACAATGTTATCAGTTTCCTAAATAGTTAAATATCACAGTGTATCTTTAAGATAACGTGATTAAATGTCGTCTGTTTTAGTTTGCGTCTCTTAATATGTATTTGTGTTCAAAATGATAAAATCAGATCTAAATCATAGCATAGAATACAAACGTCACTGTTATCTGTTTTGTGATAATGAAATTTATATAGCAAATATTATATTTATTAAAATATCATATAATATCATACAATCAATCGCTGAGAGAATTCCTAACGGACAATGCATTATATATCGTATCAAATTAAGATTAAGTGATAATGTTATTAGAATGGAATTTAGACTCAATTTATTGTTATTTCGATCGAAATTATATATAAAAATGTAATTGTTGCATAGGGAAATGTTTATGGATTTTGTCTGGGGTCATGCGCTTGAAATGAATGAAAGTTGTGATGAACAGAATTATTCTTTTTTTTATTTTCTTGTGTCAATTACTTTTAAAACATAAGTAGTAATGTTGTACATTTATAATGTCACTTGAAACAGAAGTCAGAGGGCATATAGTGAAAATGGAAAATGCAGAGAACCATAGCTATTTATGGATCCGTTCTTGGATAATTGCCCTTTATATATTTACCTTACATTATTTTATCCTTTTTTGTCAATAACAAAACCGTACACATACTTGATTAACACGAAACTAAAAATATTAATAGAAAACTTAATATAACTATCTATTATATCAAACAATTAATTTCAGTTAATTTGTCTACAATGGGCAAATAAAATTTTCCATACGTATTTATACATTGGTAAAAAAATATATAGAATCTATCATTTTCTATTCATAAATTTTGTTATTTAGAAATACTTTTAACAGACTTCAAAGTGATTTAGTTAGAACAGTTTTTTTTTACCAAACATACTTTTTTTTAAATAATATTTTAATTATCTGATGTATACAGACATGAGGTACTGTATCTCACACTTACCATCAGCATTTAACCATATCTAATATTTTTGAAGTTTATCGTTTGATCAATTTCTCTTTAAGAAAATCCATTTTAGTTGTTAAAATTATTTCACACATTACTTGTCCCTCTCGTTTCGCTGCCCTTATGTCGACTCCAGGTTTGGGTTTGGTGCCTTCTGTGTGCCCTGCTGTGATAGCTTGGGTGTGGCAGGGGCTGCTTCCTGTGAATGTACGTTATGGGCAAGATTTTGACCACTTTAGACATGAACATATATTAAAATCCGTCAAAGTTAAATTACATTAATATTTAAAACAAACGTTATTTCATAGATACACCTACTTGTATTTTGACTTTAATGTTTCATCAAAATTAAAATGCTAGGTCTGGGGCGAGATGTCATTTTCTTGTAAAAGATATTTGTACATGCATAAATATTAAGAAAATTTAAACTGGATGTGCTTACTTAAACTTTCAATAAGTTTAAGTTTTCAAATTGATGTTTCGTTTTAAAAGCATTTTATTTGGGAAAAATTTTGAAAGGGAAAAAATTTGGTGTTTTTCAAAAACACGTTGCCAAAATTTAACAAAAATCATTTTAAATAAAATATAAATTTAAAAATAAGGGATAAAAAAGGTTTTTTTTTTTAAAAATAATGAAATTTATCCCTTGCTGTTTTCCGAAAATGTCTGAAGTAGTATCAAACCATATTTTGTCGCCTAAGAGAATCTTTATGTTGCAATGGAAATTAAAGAATGTATTAGACGAAGTATCATGTGACACTGCATTAAGGAAATCTTAAATGAAGGAATGACCTAAAATTGTAAATTTTTGCCTGCAATATTTTAA